ATAAAATCTGTAAAATATTTTGAGGAATCTGTGCATTCTGACTTTCATCCATGTCTCCCTACACCAGATCGCCATCAGTAAAATGTGTCAACACAAAACTTAATGGCGGCACAGAGACTTTCCAGACTACAGAGGCCCAGAAGGATCTCATGAAATACATCATCTTGACTCAGGCTCTAAGAGGTTCTTTAGAAGTTGCTGGATTCTCAGCCCAATTCAGGCTGTTCAGCAACCTACTGGGAAAAATAGCTGTTCTAATCCTTTTTGAAAGATATATTTCCCAGTTGGCCCAGGCAGGCACGACTTCCCCGGTGGTTGGAGAGACTTTCAGCAACACGTCTGACATTTACAGCTAAGAGTTAATCTGGGCTGAAGAAGCCAGTTCTTATTATCTACTTAACACAATATGGTAACGCCCTGAAATGTATTTTTATTCATGAGTGTTACATTTGTTTGTATCTTGTGCAGGAGAAAATAACACTCGATGATTGCATCAAGCAGGTTTCTTGTTCTGACACAAGTGTAAAATCCTTCTCACTTTTCTCACGTGAGCGGCATTAAATAAACACTGTCATTGCTGCATCTCAGCAGCAATTAGTCACATTTGGGTGAGATCGCTTCAAGGTGTGAAGACCAAACTGTGAGACTTCAGGTGAAATGTGCTCACTGAAGAAAATCTGCTCCAGGACAGAGTGCGATAATAAATAAAGCAGTCGAGTCTTCTAATCTGGTTTAGCCTATTTAGTTGTAAATTTGATTATTGCTAGGTGAAGGTGGGTGATTATGTTAGCAAAATATCTCATGAGCCACTGGATGCATTTTCATGAAACCCTTAGGTAATTATCATTGTATATATTATTTACAACCTATTAACTTTTAGAGTTAACCTGATTCAATATGGCTGCCATAGCCAGCTGACGTAATAAACAAAAATGGCTATATCTAAATTCATGCTCAGTAATACAGGTAAAAAAAATCCAACAAAGTTCAGTCAGGTCATCTGGATTTATTTTTTTTATTTTTTTTGGAGACATTTCATCCTTCATCCAAGGTACTTCATCACTTTTTTCAGTGCTTTTGAACTATTCTGGCTAAGGTTGCCTTAGAGGAGTTGACGGAGGAGAGGGCGGGCCCCAGAAACCATTTTATCACCAACAAACTGGTTGGTCCACTATGGGAGTGTGCTGCTTGTGGGACTCAGTTTGTTTGTAGCTCCTCGGACTGATGAAGTCCTTTGGATGAAGGACGAAACATCTCAAACTTTGTTGGAAAAATGGCTATAATTATGTCAATTTTAAAGATACAGTATTGTGGTAAAATTTGACAATGTTGTAGCTGAGTATTATTCACAAAGCAAACTTTATTGACTATTACACTTTTATTTTTGCTTAAAAACTGAACATTAACTGTTGGCATCAACGTTGTTTGTCTTATAGCAAAATATCTCATGAACCACTGGTCAAATTTTAATTTATTTTCAGGAAACATTTATTAGATATATCTTTAGAAATGGTAAATTTTTTATGCTATTTCAACTTAAAATGTTTGGCACAGTCAATTAAACTTGGAAAACACAAAAATGGGTAATACTCATTCAGTTTACCTGATAATAAGATAAAATTTGATGTAGTGGTAGCTGAGAGTCATTCACACCACATATTAAACACATATGATCATGCATGAGATGAGAGGCCAAATCAACTACAACACCATCATTTCTCAGATCTTCGTTTAATTGTCTGGTATAAACTGTGTTGGGGTATCCTTCAAGGAAGGCTAGGAAATCAGCACTTCTCAGTTCCTCAGTCGCTCTCAGAACCACTCGGTGATTCGGGTTTGCGATGCAGCATCGTTTCCCCCCGAGCAGTTACTCTATTGCAAGGTGTTCTGAGGTTTTAGTGCCTTAATAAAACTGGGCTATGCCTTTGATGATCCAGGCCCATACTAGAAGCAAAATATACACCTCGGAATTTACAGCTCCCCAGAATGTGATACCAAAGCAATTAGTGTCGGAGAGATTGGTAGCCATGAAAAATCCTTACAGCATGCCTCGGAGCCAATAGAAAAGCAATGGATCTGGGTTTTATGGCTCAATTGCTTATTCAGTCTTGTTTGGTGTTCCCTTGCAGGAGTCTCAAGTCAGTAGGGAATACTGAGGTGTGGCAATAAATTACTTTTGCATTTAGCATAAAGATACCCAATAAAGACTCAACTATACTGGGATGACTGCAGTGCAACATAAACAAATCTCAGAGGGAACATAACGTTGCCCCTGGTAAACAAAAGAGGAGAAAAGTTCCAAGCTCGGCTGAAAACTTTGTTACGGCGAGTTAAACAGGACATCAATCAAAGCCACAACCACCTTCGTCTTTCCTGCCATATAAATCTCAACGTGTGCCGATACGTTATGCCGCCAAGCGTTACAGTTTGTATTTGCAGCTTATTTGAATTGACAAATCTGTAACTTCACCCGTTAAAGCAGCTTTCATATCAGCATGTGAGCAGTATAACGGGGCAATGCAAAAATGTTGCTTTAAATAGCTCCTTTTTGTTGTTGTTGAGCACTATCAGTCTTCTGACAGCAGCAAAAAACACCAGATGATGGTAAATTCTGACAGAGAGGCAGCTTGGCGCTTATACAGAGCAACAAACAACCCTAAATGTCAATGAGCACACTTTTTCCTCTGTGAAGGACACCAGAGTGACTGGACTGCATTCTTTGCCATGAGAGTGAGGGATTACTCAGACGCCTGTAAACCAGCTTGTAATCTAGCAGTCTGTGGGGACAGGGTCTCAGCCTCACCACAATGCTGAAAGGGACAGACTGGTTCACTTGTTTTGTCCCCGTTTTCTACAGACAACACACAAACCAATGTTGATGCGCACATAAACATCCAAAAAGCCATTTGCATATTCTGTTCGGGAAGCTGTTGCTTATAGAGAGGCTGACTTGTCTCACTGGATGATGGTATTTACGTAGTTATCCACTTATGTACGGAGTTTAGTCCATAATAGTTTTAATTTCAGCTTAGTGTGGCAAGAAAGATACAGTTGTTCTGCAGGGAACAGAGGAATCAGGAGTGCCATGTGCCTAAATAAGCTCTTTAGTGTCCTCAGCTGTTGTATTATTTAAATATGTAAAGCTATTTGCTTCTGACTTTACTTGAACTTAAGAAAAGAGAACTGTTTAATTTGTTTTGTAAATTAGGGTTTCTCAGTCCTTTTAAGTTCATATTTATTAACCCCAAATTTTGGTATTGTTTTAAAAAAATCACAGGTTCATATTTAAAGTTTTGGTCATCAAAGCAAAAGTTTAACATTTTTGAAGTGGGATTATGTGGATATGTTATGAACGATTAGTATCTTACCTGCTGTAGATAGCTCTTGGAATGAGCTCAGTTTGGCAAAATAGAATTCCATTCTGAACAGATTGACGAGCTAAAGGCTAACAACAAATAAACAACAAGTGAATTGCTACAAAGCTCCCATTTCCCGTAGGTAGATCTGATTACAGGAAGTGACTCAGCTTTCTTAATTTTGCTCAAGACATATGTAGTAGTCATAAAAATAGATCTAATATGATTAAAACATGGCCATTTGTTTTTTTTATGGTTTAAACTAAATAAATAGAACTCCTCAAGATAAAATGGGAATAAAATATGAGACATAAAGGTAAAATCAGATAAGACAAGATAATCGACAGCAGTTTCTGCAAACACTATTTTATGATCCTTTATGTCTCCATCATTTTCACAATACATACTTATTCCAGCAAATATATTATATTTCTGCCAAAAGTGCTCCAAGCTGCACCAGAAGTGCTACAGTTATGTGCTGCTGCTGCAAGTTCCATTAGAACTTCGTTAGCATCATCAAGTACTGTCAGCTTGGCAGTTCATCCATAATTAAATTATTTTCTTCCAAAGTGCGATCGTTCAGAAGTTTTTGTCCTCTTATATATTTCCTCTGTTTTATATATATTTTTAATTTTTGCCAAACCTAAAGGTCTCATATCACCAAACACATTGAATATCAGACAAAAACTATCTAAACACATTTGGTTTTTTAATGTCGATTTCATGATTCAGGAATAATATCCAGACCAACCTGGCCCCAATAAAAAAATTATCGTCCAACTCCAAAATATGAAAACTGTATATATAAATAACTAATAAAAAGTTCAATTTAAAGAGCCACACACAGTCCTGATCACTGATCAATGACTCATTTAGGAGGTACTAACAGAACCCAGAACAACGACACAGATCAACTTGTCTCAGTTAAGGTCAGAGTTCTTGATTCAGCAGTGAGAATAATTAAAAACTGCCTCTTTGGAAGCATTTCAAAGCCAAACCTACTGCTGACTAAAAGATCACAGAGGTCTGTCTCACGTTTGCATTAAAACGTCCTGATGACACCAAAAACTTTTGGGTAAATATTTTATCAACTGACAAGACAAAAGTGGAACATTTTGTAATGTGTCCCACGACATCTGCTGTAAAACCAACACTGCATTGCAGTAAAAATAACATCTTACACACAGTCAAACATGGAGGTGGCAGTGCAATGGTCTGGGTCCGCTTTAATTAATGTATTAATTAATGGAAGCATGATTTCTGAAATATTTTTTCACGTAGGGCTAACTTGCTTTGGAAAGATTTTTTTTCCCTTAAAAAATGAAAATCTTAAATGAAAATCTATATTTTGTATTATTAAGGTTATCCTTTTCTCATATTAATGTTTGTTTGATGATCTGAAACGTGTAAATGACAAAAAACATCAAAAACAAAAGAAATCTACAAGACAGCTAATACATTTTTCAAGGCTGTATCTACAACAGTTTAGACATTAATGATTCATAATTCTTCAGAAGCTCACTTTAAAAAGAAATTGAAATGCTCCTTTAACTAAACTGCTGTACATGCCATGTTCCATCAAGGACAAACAGGTTCTGACGCCATAAATCACTTCCTGCTTTGTGTCTCGTCTTCTACAGGTTGGGTCTGAGCAATTTCTCCAGAATGAACGCCAACTCCTCGGACGAATTTTTCCAAGCCACAAATCACGCAGAGCAGACGTTCCGTAAAATGGAGACGTACCTGCAGCACAAGCAGCTGTGTGATGTCCTCCTGATAGCAGGGGATCACAAGATACCAGCTCATAGGTTGGTGTTTGCACTTCTGTCTGCTTTCATTTCATTCATTAGCTTTGCAGCTGCTGTAAATGAGAGGTAAAGCAGCTCATCTGTATGAGGTTTGTAAATCTTACTGGGTCTGAATCCCAGTTTGTAATTAAAATTTTTTTTTTCAGCTGGATCTTCTGATCCTCAAATAAACGTTGACACTCGCACTCCGTGCTCACTGGTTTGGTTCTAAACATCGACACGGCCGTGATTTAATTACACCTCTGCCAATCCTCATTACATCAGACACAGAAGATCTCTGTGCTCCACTGCATGAACATGCCAATACTTAGGCATCGGCTTCTTAGTAGGCCGACTGAATTGAACTGACAGTATTAAAAAGATCATATGACGTCTTCTGAATGCTAAAGGTCACTGCTTTCACTGAGTACGTCTGCTTGAATGCCAATTCATCACATTTTGTTTGCTCATCTGGACAGACACGTACACACACAGGCATATATTTTTACATATACATA